TATTTGACACTTCTACCAAAAAAAAAAAAATTAAAGACATTCACGTAGTTAACTTTTTCTCATTGAACTTTAGCTCTTTCTTTAGACAAGCAAAATAAATTGAAATTTTAATCAATTATATCTAGAGGAGGACCATGGAAGCCCTCATCCAATAATGTAGACCACGGTTGACCTCTGTGGGGTCTTCGTTCAAAAATCTAAACGAAGATATAGGTGGTCTTCACCCAAAATTTATGGACGAAAAGTATGGTGATCTTAATCCAATTCTAGACAAGAACACAATGGAGGTCCTCGTCCATAAATTTGGACAACGACCTTTAGTTTGAAATATAGACAGTTATTGTTTTTTTTTTTTTTTTTTTTTTTTTTTTTTTTTTTTTGTAACTCAAAATTTCTATTGTTAGATGCACTTAGTAATTCCCTCGTTAGATTATAAACACTTATTGTGATTGCGAGATGAAGATGGTTCACGCCATTCTCATTGTTGTTGCCCCCACTTCAATGTTCAAAGATATGATAGCATGGAAATGCTTAAGCAACAATTTTTTTTTTTTTAATCAACTTAAGTTGTTTAAACTTAAGCTTCCATATTAACAAGGTAGAAGCCGAATCAATGCTAAATAAGTATCAACCCAATAATAACCTATTGTTAATATGCTAACTTTTTTGAAAATAAAGAAACTAATTCATTAATCATAGGCTGAGACATTTACAATAAAAATCAAAGGAATGGTCAAGCATTCCTTACAGTCAGACATAGAAACAATTTTCCTAGCAATGCTACAAAAAATTTGATTCGCACAATGTTTGACAAATTTGAAGCTGAATTCGATCTTCGGAGGAATTTAAAGCTTTTTTAATGATTTGGTCAAGCGTACCCAAAACTGACACTGGTTGAATTGTCTTGCACACCACCTGATTATCTATTTTCATTCTTCTATACATTGACAATATCTCCATTGGGTTGAACTGCATATCATAGTTCAGAGGAGTCTCTTTTTCATTGTCATGTTTGTCACCCAGGATGAGATTCACACACGCCATGACCAGTTTTATCGATTCACGCTTTATGAAAAATAACTCGCCAAGTAAACAAGAGGAAGAAACTCCTTAAAACAACGAGAGGAAAAATACAAAAACTGCAAACAAAATTAAACCAGTAAAACAAATCAAAGGGAAACAACAGTGCAAAAATAAGAGAGTAACGATCGGTAGCCGTGGAGATGGAGTAGAAAACGATGAAGGCAGGCGCTGTCTGCGATGGAGATGGCAGTAGGGCAAGACGATCGGACGCCCCCTCCGATCTGCTTGCCTCACGAAGGCGGCGACCGTGTAGAATACCAAAGGCGAGAGAGAATTAGGGTTTAATTAACAGGTCTAACTTCAATTTTCGCTAGTTAGAACTTATTTTAAATTTTGAGCTCAATTGTAATATTTTGCCAAGTTCAACGACTTGTTTAGAGTAGACTTGGTGGACTTATTCTTTTATATATATATATATATATATATATATATATATATATATATATATATATATATATATATATATATTTATTTATTTATTTATTTATTTATTTATTTATTTATTTATTTAGAGATAGTAACACAATTTGTTTCTCCTTAGTGAACTCTTACTCATCCAATCAAACAAGCAAAAGAAATGGATTTAGACGAAAACCATTTTGTCCAACAATATAGATGAAGACCTCCATGGTGGTCCTTGTCTAAATTTATGTACGAGGACCTCCACGGGGTCTTCAATCAAAAATCTAAATAAAGATTTTGGTGGTCTTCATCCAAAATTTATGAGTGAATACAATGGTGATTTTCGTCCAAATCTAGACAAGATACTATTAAGGTCCTTGTTCATAAATTCGAACAAAGACCTTTATGGTAGTCTTTGTTTGAAATCTAGATTGTTATTATGATTGAGAAATGAAGACCATTCATGTCACTCTCGTTGATGTTGCCACCGCTTTAATGTTCAAAGATAGCATGAAAATGATTAAGCAATATTTTTTATAAAAAAAATCAGCTTAAATTGTATGCACTTAAATTTCCACATTAGCAAGATAGAAGTCAAATCAATGCTAAATAAGCATCAACGCAACATTAACCTATTATTAATATGCAATCATTATATCATGTACCAGGTTCACCACACACATTGTAAATTCTGGTCCAAATTATGTATATATAATTAATATATTATTTACTTTCAGTTAACAGATTATGTATATTAAGTTATAATTGAATGTATATAATTTGCTAACTAAAAATACATAATATAGACCAGCGTCCACAATACACATTGTATCAATGACATAATTTGCAGTTAATATGCTAATACTTTCAATTATAATTTTTGCTAGTTAGAATTTTAAAAAATAAAAACTAATTTGGGCCCAATTATAAAATTTTGGGAAGTTCAATGACTTGTTTAGAGTTGACTTGGTAATGGCTTATTCTTTCTTTTATAATATAAATAAAAAAATGTTTAAGATTAAAATTTAAAATTTTAAAGGCACTCACACAGTTGGCAATCTTCACAAAACTCTTACTCCTCAAACAAGCAAAAGAAATTTAAGGTTTAATCAATCAGATTTAGACGAGGACCATAGAGTTCTTCATCCAACAATATAGATGAAGGCCTTCATGACGATCCTAGTCTAAATTTATGTAGGAAGACCTCTACGAGGTCCTGGTTCAAAAACCAAAATGAAGACCTTGGTGGCTTTCACCCATGATTTATGAATGAATATCATGGTGGTCTTCGTCCAAATCTAGACAATGGCACTTCGTCTATAAATTTGGACAAAGATCTCTATGGTGCTCTTTGTTTGAAATCAAGACCGTCATTATGATTGGGAGATGAAAATCGTTCATACCACTCTCATTGATGTTGCCACCACTGCAATGTTCAAATACAGCATGAAATGATTAAGCAACAATTAAAAAAAATTGAGATGATTAAATTGTTTACACTTAAGTTTCAATATTACCAAGTTAGAAGTCAAATCAATACTAAATAAGCACCAACCAACATTAACCTATTGTTAATATGCTAATAGGTCTAGTTACAATATTTACTTGTTAGAATTTTTTGTTTTTAATTTTTTGTTTTTTTTTTGGGGAAAATTGTAATATTTTGCCAAGTTCAATGACTTGGTTGGAGTTGACTTGACAATGAGTTATTTTTCTACAAAAATATATAAACAAAAACATTTAAGATTAAAATTCAAAATTTTAAAAACACTCACACAATTAGCTTCTTCTCACTGAACCCTCACTCCTTCAAACAAGTATAAGAAATTGAAGATTTAATCCATTAAATCTAGACGCTGACCATGGAGGTCTTCATCGAATTGAACAATATGGATGAAAACCTCCACGGTGGTCCTCGTCCAAAAATCAAAACGAAGACTTTGGTGTTGTTTGCACATAATTTCTAGGCAAATGTTGTAGTGGTCCTCGTCCAGATCTAGAAAATGACCCCCACCTCATGCAAGTTTCCGTCCATAAAGTTGAACAAAGACCTTATATTGGTATTTTTTTAAATCTAGATTATCATTGTGATTGACATATGAAGATGGTTCATGCTACTCTTATTGATGTTGCCATTGTTTCAATATTTAGAGATAGCAAGAAAATGATTAAGCAACATTTTTTAAAATTTTCAACTTAAATTATTTACACTTTAACTCTCACTTGAGCAAGATAGAAGTCAAATCAACACTAAGTAAGCATCAACTCAATATATATTAACTTATTGTTAATATTCGAATACGCCTAATCGCACTTTTTTTTAGAGCTTTTTAAATTTTGGGTCCAATTGCTAAATATTTTGTCAAGTATGATGGCCTAAATAATGAAAACTTCTCTTAATTTTTATAATGTTGTACATAATAGTGTTGTTACTTAGTTAAAAAGTGTAATACATTTTGGTAATAATATAAAGAAAGTATACTTTTTACTAAGCATAAAATACACCTAAAATATTATTATGCACCATGCTGTAAAAAATTTCTCCTTTTTTCTTTCATACTATTCTTTAATAGAGAAAATAACACTTTTCTCCCTAAATTATAGACTTATAGCACATTTTTTCCCTGATTTATTTATGTATTCACATTTGCACTCTCAATTATTTTAAAAGGGGCGATTTTCCTCCCTTTGATTTTAAATGGACATTTTTATCTTGAAATAATTATTTCATTTATTTTTCTTTTTTTAACAAGTTATTACTTAAATGTAGAATGATCACGATCCGATTTGAATAGAAGAACCGAACATTACTAACTAAGCAGTCTAGCCTGCCTCTTAGAGCATCCACAGTAGTTTAACCCCGTTGTTATTAGGAAAGAGAAAATGTGGATGAGAAATAAAAAGAAAAAATAAAAAGAAAACTAACATTAAAATGAACAATAAAAAGTTACTGAAAAGTCAAAGTGGTCGCCATCTGACGCGCCCCAACGGGCGCGTGTGCTTGTGGGTGCGAATTGCGCCTAACGCGCTGCTTCAACGATTTTTTTTTTAATCAATTAAGATCTTGCTGGAGAATTAGTTCTTCAAAAATTAATCTCCACATCAATGTATGATCCCCATATGAGTTATTTCCATTGACATAAACCCCTAAATCACCCCTGATAATGGTGCTCTTAGATAGGTGAAAATTTGTTAACAAAAAAATTTTAATGATTTTTACACACTCCAAAGAATTATGAGTTGTGGTGGTGTTTGACAATGAATGATAATAAAGCAACCTTTTGGAATGTAACAATTCAATGGTTGCAATAATGTTGTCGCAAGTGAAAATGACCAGAACAAACAAACAAACATATGACCTAGTACGTACTCCTAAACTCAACTATACCAACCACCCAATTACTAGCTTAGCTAGGTGGTCCCTAACATAACCACCATGATTGAAATCTCAACAAACATTCTCAGATAAGATTTCCAGATGAAAGGTGGGAATAGACAGCTAGAATCATTGGCCATTAAGAAAAACATATGCCCATCATTACCATAATGTCTCATGCAAATATATTTAAACATAAAACACAGCTACCATATCATCATGTCATACAACCTTTAATTTTTAACCAAAATACTGGGGGTACTGCAAAATAACTTAGACGACGAGGTTCTGTAGCTATCCGAGTAGTAGTAGTAATAGTAGTAGTAACATTACACGACCACTTATTAAACGAAAGACCAATTTACGAACATGAAAGCTAGGCAGTGATTGGTGTCATCGTCGTTCAGAACCTTCCACGCAACAGCTTGTTCGTAAGACACGGGCCTGCCCATGCTGGATACACAGATTCCGGCTGGTAGATACGCAAACCCCTGCAAAAATTTTACGTGGTAAAGTGAGAAAAAGCTAGCAAAACAATTTTGACGGGGCTCTTCGTGTAAAAATTGTATTGTGAGTTATGACCTGCTGCATGATCTTCGAGAACTCCGAGACAAGAACTTTCCGACCTGCTTCATCTAGAATCTTATCAAGCATTATATCCTGGAGGGCGAGAAGTGTGGTTTCTAGCAAGTCTAGCCCTGCCTGGTTCGCAAATGTGAAAACTGCAGAAGCCTGCATATATCATTAAAAGACTTAGCTTGTCAATTTTCTCATCTCTTTATCTTCTTAATTGCATTATTGTAATACAAGCAATGTTGAAAAAAACGCTAGGCGCCTGGGGACCACCTAGGGCGCCTAGGAGGCCGACCGCCTGGCGCCTAGGCGCGATTTTTGCAACACTGAATACAAGTTTTATATATATATATATATATATATATATATATATATATATACGGTCACGCTCAGGTGCGAACTGGGCTTCCCGTGAGAATGCACCGCAACTACTACACGAATCACAAGATATCTGGCATCCGTGGGAGTAGTTGAGGTGCATTTGTGTAGCAGGTGCGGTGCATTCCTTTGGTAATTCGCACGAGAAAGCTGGCTCACATTTGAACGCTTATATATATATAATGAAATTGTCGGGCCACCCATCGATAGTAAGCAAGGTTCAAAAGCGCAAAATAAAAAGGGAAAATAGATGGATGGATGCTACTAACATTCATTTTGACGGAGCAGCACATTATTGCATCAGAATGGTGCCAGAGTTGTTTCAAAACGGCATCACCGGCTTGTGACTCTAACTGTAGCAGTTCACTCCCAGTATGCATTCTGAAAAAAATACAATTTCAACATTATATTGAGTTGATCCCGAACAAAATTACTACAATTTATCAACTAGTAAATGACACTAAGGGAAAGCATCGAATTCCATACCTATAGCTCCTGCAGATCCATCGAGCCAAAGTAATAGCTTCTGGGGAGCCAGGTAATGGCCTTGGCGTCAAATTGGAGCTGAGTTGGGACGGAGCGATGGCCATTGCCACTCGCTGAACAGAACTTACAATGCTACGCACATATTGACGGGCCATAGCAGCAACATTGTCGCGATAATGGTTCTCAAAAGTGAACTGGAACGCGATTGTCAGAACGGAACGGAGGTTGTAATTGTTAGATTCAACTTCACCACCAGCGGGACGAGTACTTCCGCCGTTTCCTGCTTCAAGGGTAGAAGCTAAATCCAAGGTTCGAGTCGTTCCGGGTGCATCCTGCAACGTTGACAACACGGGGTAAACTCGAAATGTTAATCAATTAAATTGGCAGCGTCGTAGCTTGCTTGCATTTAATATGACCGAAGCGTTTTTTTTTTTTCGTATTATCAAAAGTCAAAACCATACAATACGGGGGTAACCCCAGGTTTGAGCCAGTCAGTTATGGGCAACCTAGGTTGGTTTACCTCCTTGTGGTCCTTTGTCAACTAGGGTCACAAGGCGGGATTTACCCAGTGCACACCCTCGGGTTTGAGCCAGTCAGTTATGGGCAACCTAGGCTGATTTACCTCCTTGTGTCCTTTGTCAACTAGGGTCACAAGGCGGGATTTACCCAGTGCACACCCTCGAGTTTGAGCCAGTCAGTTATGGGCAACCTAGGCTGATTTATCTCCTAGTGTCCTTTGTCAACTAGGGTCACAAGGCGGGATTTACCCAGTGCACACCCTCAGGTAGTGGTTGCGGGTTTCCCTCGTCACCCCAAAAAAAAAAAAAAAAAAAAAAAAAAACGGTACAATACTCAACTGATTTTGGCTCCACCGGGATGACACGAAAACCAGATGGGAGCAGAGGAGCATCATCGCCAAAAGATTCATCAATTGGCGCAAAAACAAGCTGTGCACAAGCTCCCGCAGCGTTCTCATCAATGCCACTGCATAGCTGTCATTTGTATTAAAACGTATCAGAACCAATAAAATCCACGATTTTCTTTTCTACAGCCAAAAAAGCCCTCTAAACAAACCTGTAACAAGTACATATCCCGTGATAACGCTATGTCCTCGGGTGAAAAGGCATGACCCTCCAGACGAACCACCTCCAGAAACTAGTAACAAAAGAACAAGGGAGGGATAATTTATAACAGATCGAACCTTTAGCCTATTGTTTCACGATATAAAAGGGGAGTAGAGCTACGCAAACTACCTCCTCGTGCTCCACAGTCTGAGCGAGAGGTAAAATGACCTGGCTACTAGGGAAGCCTCCCGGCCTTGCGCAAGGCACAGCATATGGACTAGCTTTAAGAGAAGCAGCAGAATACGCATCGACCCCATAGTCGGCCCACTCAGAACGGTGCTCCCTCAGGAAACGAACAAGTAAAGCAGGGGGAACATTCTGCACCCAAAATACCAAACAAGTAAGACACGAATAATTACAATTTACAAATAGGTGAGAAACATTGAAATATATTTAGTTTCTAAGGATACTCGCTTAAAACTTGCCTGAAGCAGCATTGATGCCCTTGCACACAGGACTCCGCCAAAAGTCGGAAGCATCGATAAATTATTGTACTGGGAACCCAGAAATTTGCTCGGAGACGAGTTTATGGCAATGGTTACATCCTCTACACCGTCACTTCCCAGAACCGTCCATCCATCATCAACAAACCCATTAACAGCATCATTGAATCCCCTGCAACAAATTGCGAAAACCAGTAAGGACAAGGAATAAGCAGATATTTCACAGCTCAAAACCTCGGGAAATTAAAATTTCACCTGCATAGTCTCTGACTTAGAGCCCTCAGAACTGCGGGTTGTCGGCCCCCACTGTACTGTATTTCTCCACTCGTTTCCTGTGCAATTTGCCGTATGTGGCGCAAGGCCTGCCCAAAGCGAATATCCAAGTTTAATCGTAAAAACAAGTCGAAAGATCTTGCATATCAAAGACATATATTATTGCTTACAGCCATCGTCATCTTCTGTACAAGAATCTTGGATGACTCGTAGAGTGGTCTCAGAACTTCAGGAACGTTCCAAGCCTAAGGAAAGTCGAAAGATGAGAAGGATCGATGTAACAGAACTTCATATACCCGAGAATGCTTGGAATCACTACTTACATCGAGATCAACATGATCGACAATGTGAATAATGGAGCCCCCTCCCTCGCAAGGCCTTATAAGATAGCCACTTGGTAGCATTTCTGCCCTCACAAAGCTCGTGGCAGGAGGCCCTGACGGGCCACCAGTTTTAGAACTCAACGATCTCTCGCATATCTGTAAATTATACGAAAAACGAGTTAACAATGAATATCTCAGACATCGTTGGATTTGTAATGTATGTATAGCCTCAAAACATGTACCACAAGACTGCCATCTTCCAAGCTCGTAGTATATCTCAGCGTCCAAAAGTCCCGAGCTGATGCCAATGTTGTCGGTGCATATGTCTAAAAAATAAAACCATAGTATATAATAGATACCTATTATATTGCCCGAAACTAATGAAAAATCCATATACAAAGACAGCGTATATACCTGCATATATATGAGTTCAATCGTCCCTCCATTCCCTGTCGGGAGTACACTCAGCACATCAAGACAACGGCAATCACGATACCAGGAAGGACGATCTTTTAGAATCTCAGCAACCTGTAATAAGATCAGCAACATATTATATTACAACCCAAAAATTAAAATTAAAACTCGAAGAAAATTGGGGGGATAAAAATTGGAGTTTGAACTTGAATACCTTTGTGGGCTCGAGGCTCACAAGACCACAGGCTCGTCCTGCTACTCCGCTACAGTTGCGGGAAACAGCAACGATCCCAATGGAATCCGGACCAGGCTAAACGGGTAAAGGAGAAGGAATAAGGAATACCATTTGAGCATTAACGAAGCATATAACATTTACGAAAATTAGATTAGAAAAACCGAAATCGCATACCTTCATCCCAATCATCTGAACCCAGTCGACAGCCGTTCCAGTAGCCTTTCCAAGGAACTCTGCCAGGGTCTCCTCAGCTATTGCGAGAAGGCTAAAGAAACAAGGAAAAACACTGGCTACTATTAACTATTAACTAAGAACTAAGAAAGGCACCGTAGAATTAGGCGTATAATTATTATGATCCTAAAATGGACACAAGATTACAAATTCAATTACCCAGCTGGGTTGTTAGCATCCCTTTGAGGATGCTGGGGTGTTGGGTTCTGTTGTTGCTGCTGACCACTCACGACCACAGATTCACAGCTGGTATCTGTGGTCGTAGTGTTAACCTGTCGCAAAATTTAACTCAATATAAGCATACAAAACATATGAGGCATATAGTATAATAATTAAGCAAAGTGGAATTGAAACGGGGCAAAACTTTGTCTTCATTATGCAAATTCAGTGTGTCGTACTTACAGTATGCAATTGTGTTCTCATATAACCATTCTCATAAACTAGCTGAGAGACCTGCTTCTGCAAACGGTCATTCTCTTCCATCAAAAGCTTGTTCATAGCACTCAGCTTCCGGTTAACAGTTTGTAGACGAGAAGCTTCTTTTCTTTGTTTTTCACGGCATCTATATAGGAAAATTGAAAAAAAAGATTAGTTCCCATACAAACAAATTCATCAAAAGCGGGGATAAGGTCACAAGTTCAATCAGGTAACCTAGACTGGTTTATTTTCTTGTGGTCCTTTGCCGACTAAGGTCGGAAGGCGAGGTTTCCCTACACACCCAAAAGGGTTATGGGGTTTCCCTACACCCGAAAGGGTTATGGGGTTTCCCTCGTCATCCAAAAAAAAATCATCAAAAGCTTGTTCATAGCAATGTTAGGGTTCAAATACAATTGAACCATTGTGCCTATGTACATTGCCATTGTGAGAGAAGGAAAAACCAGTGCTAAAATTAAACAAATAATTCATATTATCACAAATGTTCATATTCAATGAGTTTAACAAAGGTGCCATATAATTGAAAATTTCTTCATTTTACCTTATAGGCAGAACTTTAAGAAGGTTGTGCCTTTTTCTATTCTTAAAGAAAGGCATAAAATTCTCATTTTTTTAATACAACAAATGAAAATGGATAGTGAACAAAATGAAATGCTTGTCTTGTTCTTTTTTTTTTTTTTTTTTTGAGAAATGCTTGTCTTGTTCTATTTTCCCACAAAACTTTCAACAAATCTACCAGTAGCAATCAAGAAACCAATTTATGGACAAAATAGAAGTCTGGTCAACTTAAACCATTCATTGACTGCATCATAGTCTGAGCAGAGAGATCCCAAACTCCCATAATAACCACAATAAGCATTAAAAAAAAAAAATTATACCCATTTATCAAAAATTATTTTGTTCAAAAAAAAAAGTTGAAAAATTTTATCAAACTAAAAAGCCCACATTTTTCCCTCTTAAACCCACAATCTGACTCCTTTCATAGATGTCAGGCTCTCACCTAAAAATGAGAATAAATAAAACCCAAATCCAAAATGCCTGCCTCCATAATTATTTATGAAAAGATTTTCAAAAAAAAAAAAAAAACCTAAAAGTGGAAACTTTTTTATTTATCAAACCCAAGTTTGAATCAGAACATTTTACAGAGTAATCTTTCTAGGTTTTTGGTTGTACCAAGATAAAACCAAACGGCACACAAGAAAAAGAATAATAAATGAATGCCTTGAAATCCCAAAATCGGCATTAAATAGAAAACCCAAATTACCCCAACAAAAGGGTGACCAAAACTTTCAACTCGCAAAAAGTAGAGTTAAAAGAAAAATCTCAGCATTAATGCATTCAAAGAAAATGAAGATACCCAGAAAAACCCAGAAAAGAAAAACAAAAAACAAACCTCCTACAAACCAAAACATGACCCAAAGTTTAAAAGGAAAGGATAAAGATGAGAAGTTCAGAAAGGGAAAAGTTGTAAAAGACCCCAAAAGAAAAAAAGGGAAATTTACAGAAAACACAGAGACAAACATATAACCTTCTGTTTTGGAACCAGACTTTGATCTGTTTAGGCTCAATGTTAGAGAGAATGGGGCACTCCCTAATGAGCTGTTGCCTCCTAAGAGAGGAGGGCTTTGGGCACTCGGAATAGACTCTCTCAAGAGCCTCCACCTGCTCTGGAGTGTACCGAACATATTTGCTGCTGTCCATCTGGTGCTGTTGATGCTTACCGCTACTGTTACTCCCACCGCTGTTGGATGATTCTCTGTGCATAACCAAAGCCATAATCTTTACACAAAATTCAATTTTTCTTTTCAATCAAACAAGAAATGGGTTTTGTTGCATGAACAAATTAAAGGCAGGCAGGCTCTCTCCACCAAGAGAGCCTCCTCTCTCACTCATTAAGATTACTCGTTTTCTTTTTTTTGGTTCTTGATATCCTCACAGGTGAGAAAAGATTTGATCTTTTTTTCCCCTTCTGTGAAGCAATAGGGTATGGTGGGAGTGAAAAGAAATATAAAACAGGAGAAGAAGGGGAGGGGGCTTGGTAGCTATCCTACCCAGTACCCACTGCGCCTCTATAAGAGAAGAGAAGAGAGAGAGAGAGGTCCCCTGGGTGTTTACTCTTTATCATAGACGCCCATCTCGAGAACTTTTTCCGTATATGGTAGTAGTATGTTATATGCTCATACGTATGTATGTATACGCATTAGAGATATATATATATAGAGAGAGAGAGAGAGAGAGGGAGAGAGAGACGCACAGCCGCACAGTGACAGAGCAATGAACAGCACGGGTCTTTTACTGTAATAAAACTTTTTGAGTTTTTTCTGCCTTTCTTTTTCTTCTTGAAAATTGTAGTGTACTACTGTGTTACAAAACTCCAAAATACCATTGTATATATACTTATTTCTACCAAAATATCTCCCACAAATTTTTGACAATGAGTAACTCTCGTGGGAGGCCATCTCATGTATCGTTATCCATGAAACAGATCAGGTCAATCCTAACTCTCGTGATAGACCATTTCGTGTATCGTTATCCATGAAACCGATCAGATCAAAATAAAAATATAAATATTCATATTCAAAAATGTATTACGGAGTGTCAAACACATTGTGCTCAGATGACATGTAGTGACCTCTCTCATGTGAGAAGTCATGAGATTAAGCCTCATTGAGGCATTGTTGACTCTTTATGCTTAGGGTACTACAACGTAATAGAGTTAGTAGCATTAAAAAAATGTACTCCGTATTACGCAGTACTAATCACAAATAAAGTATAATACTTTTTTAGGAAAATTGTAATATTTTTAAATCAATATTTAAAAATATTATATTTTTCTTCAAAAGTATTATCATTTATTTTATGAGTAACAAACACTTTATTCGTGATTAGTACTATATTTTCTAACATAAGTATTACATTTTCATCTTGATCCAACTCGTCTCACATACAATGATCCGTGAGACGGTCTCATATAAGTTTTTGTCTTTTATAATATACTCGCTCATTTTAATTTGTGTCTGATTCAGTTAATGATAATGAGATTGAATTAATATTATTTTTACTCCAAGTTTTTCATAATATTAACTTTTAGTATTAGTATATAAAATTTGTATATTTATAAATCATATCAAATATACTTTTAAACACACACACAAAAAAATACTAAAGAAAATAAACAATGAAGAAAAAAGTTTATCAAACCAATTAATAATAAACATAACCGATAGAAGTACTTTTTTTAGAATTGTGTAAGTATTTGAAAATGTAATCTTTTTTATTTTCATAATAAGACATTTTTCTATATAGGGCATTGTACATTTTTCTAATATTATACGTGTAACCGTTATGAGTTATCATAATCACCTAATATCGCGAATTAGAAAATATTTTAAAATTACCTGAATTTCATTACAATTACACTTCATTTTGTATTTAATACAAATTTTAATATATATATATATATATATATATATATATATATATATATATATATAAAATATCGGCTTTAAAATACTAAAAAAAAAAATAACGCAAAGAAAAAAAAATTGATTTGATCAATAAATAATGCATATAATTGATAAAAGTAGTTTCTTTTATTTTTAGAATTTATAAGTATTTGAAAAATGTACTCTTTTTTTAATTTAGAATAAGACATTTTTTTTATATAGGGTATTCTACATTATCCTAATATTATATGTGTAATGGTGGCCGAATTTTTACGAGTCATCATAATAAAAAAATTTTAGTACTACTGACTGTTACAATATAGTATCTGGGAGAGTCAATTCATGCCGCTAGACCACAAGATCATTGGCATATAGTTTACCGCAATGCTAAATTAATAAATGTAAATAAATAAAATTTATAACTTATTTAAATTAGATTTTATTAAAGGTAAATCAAACTCATAAAATACAAAATGGAGCTCAATGACACCTTTGTGACTCTTCCAAATGAGAGGTTACATGTTTGAACTCCAGTAACGGTATTGACTCTTTGTGTTCATATACTACTTTAGTACTCAAAAAAAAAAAAATCATAAAGTAAAATAAAAAAATACTACTCATACTTTCAAATTCTACTCTCTTTTTTATGTTGACATTTTCATTCCGACTCATGGAATAAAAATAACTAATTATTAATTGTCACAAATGATGTAGTAGAAATAAAAAAATACATATAGTAGAACTCAAATAAAATACAAGTAACTGCATTTCCTTGCGGTGTTGCGCCCATACATACATGGTGAGGTGTATATAACGCATGCATGGATGCATAGAAGGCATGATGAGAGAGAAATTGGTGCTGATTTGGATACAGATTACCTCGTATTTATACGTATAAGTACATGTTACATAGGTTTGGAATACCGTATGCCAGTTCTAGAGTAAGACAGATTTAAAAACCATCAAAAATGGAATTAATGACATCATTTTTAGCAGTCAATAATGAAATCATACAAAAAATTTCCACTGCCGTCTAAATTGAAAATAAATACGGCTCTGGAAGACTAAATAATAAAATAATTCACAGTAATATCCTAAAAGTTTTAACCGCGTTTACTTCGTATTATGTTATAGAAAAAAAAAATACTTGCATGAACAGCTAGTTGATCACATGCAGGGACGGAGGAAGAGGGGAGGCAGGGGGGCGGCTGCCCCCACCCCCATCCCATATATAGTATTTGTATGTATATATGTATATATAGAACATATTTAGTCTTAGTATAAAAAAATTATAAAATATTAATAAGAAGTGAGTTAGAGTAGGTGGTAGAGTACAACTTTGGTAATAATGAGGTTAAGAGTTTCAATCTTAGCATCAACATAGTTTTACAATTCTTTTTTAATAGCTTTTTTAATATTACACACACTCTCTATAATAAGATGTGTAATTTATAATGTGTTTTCTATTCAAATTATTTTATTAATTATGTTTCATATTTTGTTATGAATATTTTTATAAAGTTTCGATGTGTTTTATTTTTCGTCTATATCAAACAATATTTACAATTATATTTCTTAGGTAGTTTATTTATTTATTTTTAAATTATCTCTTTTGTTTTAATGTTTCGCCTTTTCTAGAAAAATTTTCTGAATCCGTCTGTACTGTTTCGCCCCCCCCCCCCCCCCCCCCCCTCCAACCGAATTTCTGGCTCCGTCCCTGATCACATGGATGAAGTTTAAGAATAATGACTAAGAATTGAGTTCTAAGTGAGTTGAACTCATTCTGTGCAGTAAGTAAATGTTTAACATACATCTATGCATCCTCTCGGATGCTCGGTCAGGTCGTGGTTGGGGATTTGAATTTTTCTCTTCAAATTGACATAGACGGACAATATTATGTTAAGAGTTTATGTGTATTATGTTATGAGTTTATGTGTATTATGTATTATGTTAGATTATGTGTATTATGTTATGAGTTAATGTGTATTCTGTTATGAGTTTATGTACATACGAAACATGAGATTTTTTTTTTTTTAGAACTTAACTGCAGAAACGGGAAGCAGAATTTCAAAAAAAAAAAAAAAAAAAACAGATACAAAACGACATCGTTTTGGCCAGGACACACAATGCATGATATAATTTGCCCAATTATTACTTGAAAGCCTATTAGTAACCTGTAAAAAAATATAAATTGTACATTGTTACTTGTTTGATGATCTAATTGCATATTTTTAAGTTTAATGACTTAATTGCATAGACCTAACAAAGTTAATGACATATTTGACACTTTTTTCTACATTATAGAAATTCTTAAATATAAATAGTAAAATATTATATGCTATTATTTGGTTCAAAGAGATGTGAGACCTTTTAAAACATATAAAATTCTTAAACTTGATTTTTAATTCATATTTAGTTGTGTTGAGCATATATAATATATAAACATAAATGTGCAATCCAACTATTAGTTTAGGCTTTTAGTTGAGGTGGAGCGCATGCTTCAATTTGGTATAAGCATAAATGTGCAATCCAACTATTAGCTTAGACTTTTAGTTGTATACATAGAAATCTTATTCTATACATTTATTAGGTTCCGTAAAATACACGAGAATTTTAAATTATTTAGAAATATATTTTTTTTTAACCAAATGCCAAGTACCTTGTGTTCAGATGGCATGTAGTAACTCTCTCATATGGGAGGTCATGAGATCAAGTCTCAGTGGAAGTGATGTTGACTCTTTGTGCGGCACTACAATGTAATAGATTCAGTAGCTTCAAAAAAAAAATTGAACCAAACTACATTTTGCTTCTCAATGCATTGGTAAGTTTGTAATTTTGTTGAAGTTGGATAGCTATCTCATACTACTACCACCTTTGAAAAGAAATTAAGCAAAGCTTTCAAAGGAAAATACTTTTTACCCCTCATAATTTTCCCCTTCTATATTTCTTCTCTTGTGACATATAATTATTGAGTGTCATAAATTAGCGTAGAGCATCTCTAAAAGTTTAAGTTACTTTTTAGAGAGTTTTTTCAGAGCTATGTAGATGTAGGAAAGAGGGAGAAGATGGAAAGGGGGAGCAATATATATATATATATATATATATATATATATATATATATATATATATGCTATTTATACGCCTGTTGGTTGTGATAGGTGCACCTGACACACATATGCAATGAGTAAGCTTTATTATTATTTTTTAAAATAAAAGTGGACCCCACAAAAAAACATTTGCAGGAGTATAATTTTCTTTTATCTCCTCCACAAAAGCTTAAGTGTATGAAAAAACCACAAAAAATGCTCTGAACAATAAAGTTTTCAATCGAATAGTGTCATGTCATGAAGGGAAATTAAGAAAGAAATTTTTTTAGGGGTGAATAGCATTACTCTTGTTAGAAATGATATTAAAGGTGTACAATTTCTTGATGAAGTTTAGCAAGAAACTCAAACCTTATTACATCCCTCCTTTGTTTATTCAACAATGTTTATTTAGATAGCATAATCTCATGAGGTTTTCTCTCTCTCTCTCTCTCTCTCTCTCTCTCTCTCTCCTCTAATACGAGGTTTTTCTTCTAGGGTTTATCCTGATTTGTTTTTCTTCACGCTTTTTCTTGTTATGGCGTCTGTTGATGTTGAGAGCTTGGGTAAGGAGTGTGCCACTTTGGCTATTGACGATGGAGAGAAGGGTCTTAT